ATTTTTTTTAAAAAACCTGAAAGACAAAAAGACACTTTCCTATTTTGTGTTTTTATTTTACATAAAGACACGAGCTCTGAATAAAATGCACTGGCATTTTTGTTTTTGTTTTTGTTTTTAGATAATTTGTATTCTAAAAACATAGGTAGGAATAAATAATCAACATGCAAATATATGGTAAATAAAAGTTTATCATCTATCCAGTTGTCCTCATCATCAAACATGCACGTTCACATGTTCTCGTCCTGCAAAAAGGCCTAAGCTGTTTTAGAGTCATAGAGTCAACTATGTGCTGCAGAACTGAGAAGATATTTTCACGGCATGTCTGAGTAAGCAAAACATAACAAAAAAATAAAACAAAATAAAAATGAAAATAAATAAAATATAAAAAATCCCCACATTTGACAACTGTTTACTTCTGCATTATCCAAAGCCATTTGGGCCATTTGCTCAACAAATTAAATTTATGGTGTGACATCTGTTTTCACTGGAGCTTGAACTTTTAGAAGATGGAGAGCTCATCTACAGACATAAAAGTTTGCAAGTCCCCCCCCCCCTCAGTTTAGCACCCCACCGCATCAAACAACTAATGTAAATGTGAAAGTACAACTTTTAAATGTAATGCAAACTGATTTAACAACTGCAGTTGGACCACATATTCAAGAACTAAGAGCTCTTTAATGCCACTGTCCTGATATGCCCTCAGAAACTGTCCTGAGAAGCCTCTCTGCTATGGCATGAAATCTTTTTTAGTCACCTTCGTGAAACACAAACATGCCAGGCATAGTGCTAAAGCCTGACACCTTCCACTTCTTTTGCATCGTTACATGATGTTGGCTAATCACATAGTCTGTTTTTTTAATCAAACAACCCTTTAAAGTCCCTTCATTCATTTCTAAGTGACTATCTCAGTTTTATGTGTTGTTTTTACTCTGTAAAATGTGTGCACCTGAACTGTCGATAAAACAATCTAAACACATCAAAAATATTCAAAAACAAGGACACATGACAGATGACCTGCACCGCAGTAGGACCTTGCATTATGATACATGTGATAGGCTAACAGTTTAGAGAAGGCATACGGAAAAAATGAAGAAATCTAATATTAGACTGTCCATCAAGTCCTCAGATAACCTTCCCAACTCTAGCTTCTCCTGTGAGTCTGGGTGGTGTCTGGTTATTTGAGCCCTGGTATCTGTCATAACTCTTAATCTGACAGGTGGACAGATAAATTACCATCTCTGTCTGCTCAGCAGCTAAAAGGAGCCTATGACTCAGAGTCACAAAGGACTGCAAAACACAGGAATATAAAACATCTATATTTACGTTTCAGTTATTCTAATAAAGAGGACACCAATTTAGAAGGTGAGTTGACACTGCAGGTGTATTAATGTCTTGTCAAATGGTCCTCTTGTAGTTGTTCTGCCATTATCAACTATAGGATACAGATAGCTGAATGCTTTGGCTGACTTCTGATAAGTTAACTTGAGGTAAACACAAAGTTGGATGTGAAATAATGAACATTGATTCTCGTGGCTATGTGGTATTTTTGTCTTTAGTGCTTTAGTTAATATTGTTTATTGCATATTTAATGTTTTGAGAACAAGGGACTGTGAATCAAATCTTTTAGGATTGTATTTGCGGCCCCCTTCAGTACACACATTATTTCTCAGAAGTCTTTTCTACTCCATACTCTGCTCTTTTTTGAAATAATTAAGCAAAAAATCCATTAAATGCTTAGACGCTGAATAATGTTCTTCAAGATCACTGGCTCCTTCAAATAAACAAAACCTATTATCAGAGGGAGGGCAGAAGGATGTTGGTTGCTAAACAACATTTAGTAGCATGCCTCCATAACACTATAATGAGACTGCAGGGAGTTGTTGCTTATTGTAGACAATACAGGTCACCCTGACTTTGAGGTCAGAATACCTAAAGGAAATTCTGCATCAGACTGATTGCAGCTTTCAAATATACTCCATCGGGTCAGTGCTGAAAGCTGAGAGTTATTTGCCAGGATACGGATTTTCCATAAGATCCACAAAATTAGCTGTGTCATTAAAATGATGCCAATCATGTTGAAATTGTGTTTTTAAGTAATGTGCATATACAGTGCATCTTTATATAATAACTAATTTCATTTGTGTTTCCTGGTACGAGTTAATGCTTTAAAACACAGGATATGGATTCAATTTCACAACTCACAATTCCAGTCCAAGCGTTGTCATGAAACACAAACATAAAGAGCAACACACATAAATCTGGCACAGGTTAAACTGTTTCCTCACCTGACAGCTTTCAACTGTAGTGTGCTCCATTCTGGGTGCAGGGGCAGGAGGCGGTGGTGGGGCCCTCCTCTTCTTGGTCTCAGCCTTGGGAGACAACCTCGGGATACTGGCGACAGACTGAGACTGGCCCAAGGTGCCGGACCAATTAGGTCCACTGGAGAACCCAGATACTGTGGACACGTCCTGTGGGTAACATGAAAAATAAAAGGAGAGGGAATCAGACTGACAAATGGGAGGAGGAAACATGAAAAAATGTACACATTTAAGAGTTTGAAAAACATTTTTGTAATTAGTTTAAAGTAAGGAACAAATATGATCACTGACTTGTAAGCATAAAAATGACTGATGGCTAAATTGCCATTAAATTTTCAAGGACAGCTCAGAGCTGGCTTTATCAAAAATTAAATCCAGTTCATTCTGAGTTCATCTAATATGTTAACGATCATATTTGGAGATGAGGGGATAAAATTTACAGGAGTTTAAGAACATGTTTAGCACAGCATTTAAAATGGTGCAGAACTCTGCTTGGGTCAAAAATCACAACTAAGTGTAATGAAACCCAGTTACTTCTTAATTTATGACATGTATCCAAACTTAACTTGAAAACTATTAGACAGCAGAATATCCTGTTGACTCACTGACAATCTTGATTTCAAGGGTTATGTTTAGTGTAAAAGCTGACATGTGTATTCTTAACACCCACATCTAGGAAAACCACAAACAAAATGAATAAAAACATGCACGTGTGCACAGACTATGAATGCAATGCACAGGAACCTTTCTGAAAATACAGTCTATTCTTCAGTCATGACAATTATTGCAACATTTGATCAAATTGAGAGTGCGACCACATTTTCAAAGGGTGGCTGCTCCCGACCAAAGCATTGAAACAAAAATGGGTTTCGATTTCTGATCAAAGAGGGCCTAAAGTGCTCGTGAAAACCTCCACCTTCCTGTGGCTCAGCTTGGTACAGACCTTTGCAACAACAGGAGCACCAAAACCACAGCTCAAAACCCCATGATCGAAGAAAACAAAAAGTGCTTTAAAGCAGATTAATTGATGAGTTCAGACAATGCCTGAATACAACATAAAAGCAGAGCAAAAAGGAGCATAAAGTTCAGGTCATTAGGATTAATTGGGCCTTAGGTTATAACATCTCACAGTGGGGAAGGATGGGAAAAGAACAAGGCTTCAGAAAAAAAGAAATCTATAGGAAAGTATAGCATGCCTGCAATTTTTCTTTCTTGCTTGTTATGCACAAGTCTACCGTTATTTACAGCGCTGTCAGCCGATGTTTTTTTTCCCCTTTTACTTACTTCCGAAAAGAAAACCTAATTTCTGCCCTTCAATGGGCTACTGAACAAATTTAAACTTTTTAAAATTATGCAAAATGCAAAACGCTTAGCCGCGTCTCTAATAAAACCACTGTAACTTCAGAGGTAATGTTCATATGCTGATTAATGGTTTTCTTTCATTTTTGATGTACTGCGGAATATTTTTTATAAAATCCCAGGCCAGGAAAATCACCTTCATGTTTTTCTGTGTTTTATCTTCAGCTACTTTGACACAAAGGCATCTGCTGTGATGCTCACACCTTTGATAAAGTCTCGAAAGTGTCAGCTTCCTTTTTATAGATACAAAAACATGTAAATGTACTGATCTGAATTATAATATTTCTGACTGAGGCAAAATTTCCCTGATTCAAATCGAATTGAATAGTGGATCGAATCGATTCAGGACCTTGTGAATCAGAATCGAATTGATTCTAGAAATCAGTGACGATACCCAGCCCTACTATCCTCCTAATATATAATCACTAATATATAATTTACTATTGTGCAATAAAATAAAAGCTTCTAACTTCCTCTATCCTTATAACCACGGCAAAACTCAATATGTCCTTGACTGTGAAAACACAAATGGAAGGCTTAAAGGGGAATATTAACACAGAACCACTTGAAACTACAGCAGAACATATATCTATATATATATCTATATATATCTATATATCTATATCTATACACATATATATAAAATATTTGCCACAAGCCTGTTCTGTCATTTTTAACAGTTTGCTGTGTTGTGTGACTTGTGCATCTATGTTGTGACAGGAGTAACATCAGAGTGATGCAGAGGCAGAGCAGATGGCAGACAGAGGCTGACAGAATAAAAAAGAAATGCTGGAAGAGAGGAATGATGTGATTCCCATATGGAATCTTCAAAAACAAAAGTGTGTTTTCACCTCAACAAAAATATAATGTTCAAAGTGGAAAATTCACATGAACTCTCCCTGACTTTTTCACCCTTTTCACCGTGGTAAACAATCTGAAAAGTGTGGAAACAGTGAGAGAGGAAAACAGAACAAAAGGTACTCCAGCTCTTTTGGGGGGAAATGGAGTTCACAGCACATTTATAATTACAAAGTGTGTAACACAAAGTCAACCTTTTGAAGCTCTGTATAACTAGGATCTACACACTGAATCGCCTGGGAATTCCTTTCATGTTTTTATGGACAGGAAATTAACTTACTGACATTTTGTTACTGA